CCCCTGAAACATATAGACAAAGCACAAAAGTCATCCACATGGTTTTCCTAGACCTAGAGAAAGCCTTTGAATCCAGGTGGAAGCAATATGGTGGAGCATGAGTTGAGCCAGAGAAACATGTCAGGCTTGCCAAAGACATTTACGACAGAGTGACAATGGTAGTTCGAAGCACATGCGACGAAACGGAAGAGTTCCCTGTACAGGTAGGAGTCCACCAAGGATCCGCACTGAGCCCTTTTCTGTTCTGGCGATAGATTCGATAATTGAAGATCTGCAGGAAGCAGCTCAAAATTGCATGCTTTCTGCAGAAAGCAGAGAATCTGTAGAAACGAAATCCAAGGCATGGAGAACAACCCTTGAAAATAACGACCTTCAACTCAGCAAAGGTAAGTAAGAATATATGATGGGCTGTTTCAGTGGGGGAAAACAGGCTGAACTAAGTCAAACCAGTGAAAATAGCGGGAAGCATGCTGCCTCTAATCCAAGAATTTAGCTATCTTCGTTCCATCCTGCGAGGAAACGCGGAAATCGACAGCAAGGTAAGAAACTGTTCGAAAAAGGCTTGACTGAAATGGAGAAAAGTGAACGGAGTGCTGTGCAATGACCCTCAGACTGAATAGGAAGGTGTACAGAACGGTGGTATGACCGGTGCTTCTGTACGGAGGGAATGTTTGGCAACCCTGAAGAGACACAAACAACAGCTGAAGTCGGTAGAAATGCAACTGTTCAGCATGGATGTGTGGTGTCATCAGAAAACGGCACATTCAAAACAGCTCCATAAGAAGCACTCTAGGGGTAGCACCAGTTTTCTAAAAGCTCATCGAAGACATTCTCCGTGGGTTCGGTCACATGGAAAGAAGACTCATCTAGTACGTTGGAAATATGGTCCATGCAATGATACTGTCAGCGAGGAAAAATGGGAAAGACCAGAGAAGATATGGCGTAACGTTTTCAAGAACGATATGAAACAGTGAGGAGTCTCTGAAGATATAACCAACGGCAGAAAAATGTGGAAGAGGTTGACTCGATGAGCAGAACCCTGTTAAAGGGAACATGTCAGGAAAAAGAATGAAAAACAAAGACTGAGCAAAGAACATTGACCAGCTCGATTACAGGTGATTTTCGAGTATCAGACATAATCATGATAATTATAACATGGCAAGATCGCGATAGGCGCAAGAAGCTATTCAATGTTTCCATGAATAAATGAATGTAGAAACGAAACAATATATTAATGAAGAAACGAATAAATCATTGAATGAATAAATGAATTTACTGCTTGAAGGGAATTTAATTTACTGCATTAGAACATTCCGTCGTTCGGCAATTCCTTTAAGACCTCAACGATATCCATGTGATGCCTCAATTGTGAAGAAGATCGTGTTTATTTCTTCTCTCCTTCTTCCTTTTTGACTTATTCCTTTCACACCTTGCTCTGTTATATCGTTCACATTCTTTGATTTTTCCGGATTCGGTTACTCTCCGTAACTTCATGTCATTATTTATACCCCGTTATCTTTTTCCAGGTCATACCGTTTTTTCTGTACAACAGGAAAGTTTTTTTACGGTTGCTGAGACTTTTTTCTGTGGTTTTAAGAGCAACTCTCTATCGCACTCCAGGCAGTTCACGTTAATTCACCATCAATTTTTCCGTTGTTGTGCACATTAGAACCGAGGTATTTAAATACTGAGGTTTTGAACAACACGTGGCAGTTCACGATTAGCTGGCATATATCCCTTTCTGAATCATGCAGATATGTCATAGATATACAGTAGAAAAGAGGTACCAAAAATGGTTTCCTGACAGAAGTGGTAACCGATGCTAGTAAATTAGCATGCCATCATCATCAGCCTTTTTCGACTCACTACTGAATGAGGGCTTCTGCAAGTCCTTGCCATAAACTCCTGTTTTCTGCTATTACCATCCAACTTGATTCAGCCAACTTCGTCAGCTCATCCTACTATCGATCTGAAGGTCTTCCTCCTGGCAGACTACTATCTCGCGAAAGAAAGTCTGTCTCTCTGACCCAGCGATGGTCGGTACATTTTCAACTTGTCCTGACCATTGCCACTATGACTTTTTCATTCAGTCAGGGATATAGACTTGCTTATACTCTGACCCTTCTCTTCATTCGCTTTCCCATCGTTTCTTGCTGTTCCAGATAAACATTTGCAGGTTAACATCGGGAGCAAACAATCGAGAACTTTCTACTTCAAGCGCCAAGGCAGTTCTCCGGAGAAGTATGTTTTTGGTCCTCCAAAAGTGCTATATGCCACTTTTATTCTTCTGTTGGTTTCATGTAATCGGTTCCAGGTTGCGGAAATGAGTTGTCCAAGACAGATGGAGTTGTAAACTCTCGAAATCTAAATCCCTTGACCTCAACTGGTCGCATGATCAGGTAACTGTTAGGCATGACCTGAAACTTTTTCAGATTCATTTTCACTCCAGCACTGATGCTGCGTCGTTCAGCTCTTAGGTTTTTTCTTGGAGTCATTCTGGTGACCTTCAAGGTAGAATTAGCATCAATGATGAACAGCTCTGCCACCTAAGGTTCGCTGATGTTGTGATGTATGTGGGTTGTTTTTTGAGAACGTCAGTTAGCTACCAGACATGCTACAGGAGCTCGAAAGGAATAGCGCAGAAGTTGGACTGCGAATCAATCAGCCAAGGGCGAAGACAATGCGACTGAACGCCCTGCTGAAATCGGGGGTAATATTATGCAGCGAAAGAATCGAATAAGTGGATAAATACTCTGGCCATGAGTTGAACATGTGACATGATCAGGATGAAGAGATTCAACGAAGAACGATACCCGGCTACGGCGGGTTCCATTCCATCAAGGACGATCTCCTAAGCTATACCAGAAAAAATACCCCTGACCATCTCTTCAGTTCTACGATCCTGCCGGCAATGTTGCGTGGTCGAGAGACTTGGTCCCTCACGAAAGCTGTAGAGCGACTGATTTCTCTCATCCGGAGAGCCATGGAGAGAATAATGCTGGGAATCTCAGACAGCGGGTAGTAATTCAAGACTTTGTAGTCAGAAGCAGTAGGAGAAAGCTACAGTGCTCACCGACTGACGATTGTCAGCGGTTATCGTCGACCGGAAGCTTTCACCGCCTTGGTGGGAAGATTACATCAGGAGCTGGGTAGACCACACTTGAGAAGAGAAAACTCAAAATGCGGCAACAGTCGCAACTATTCGCCGATTACCGACAGGTCTGAGTGACAAAGGTGATCCAAGGTTGTGCCTTAAGAAAAATTACCTCTTAAAATTTGCAATGATATGGAGTTAGTTTTGATTTTTGCGTAATGGTTACGGATTGAGTATGATATTAGTTTTTGGTAGTTGAAGTTAGAATGACCTGATTACCCGGCGTACAGTCCTGCAGGTTGGTAATACGGGTTTCGTTACAACAGTATGGTCTCATGTCGACCTTTCGACATGCAGCTTGGTCCATGCCATTCCGTGACCGATATCTGATAGAATAAACGGTTCCACAGGTGCCATTGAATGTAGACCAGGGAAGCCAATGAGTTCGTGAGCAGCTTGTACAGAGGCAGGGACTGTCCAGTCTGAGTCTTGATTCTGGACACCGACCGTACGGCTGCTCGGCGGCCTCCAGAACGTTAATACGATCCTTGAAGAAACACTTTCCTTCTGTCGCGACATACGTGCAGACTTCGGAGCTTGTGAATTTGCAGTCATCATACGGATCGCTCTCACACATATAGTATCCGAAGGACCATGAGGTGCAATTGAATGTCGCGGCATTGGTAAACTCTTTCGTTCGCTCATCCCTCACCAAGTACGAACAGAACTGCTGCTCCATGCTGGTGGCGATTACTCTCAGATAATCCACATACGTGAGACGTAGGTCGACGTTCAGTGATATTTCGTATGAGTAATGATGCAGGCGCATGATGTGCTGGTTGTCAGGATTACCAGCGATATTCAGATTAATTGCAATCTCTGTGCAGCCGATTTTGTCATCAGAACATTTGGCAAATTGATGCCATTTCGCGGACGCCAGTCGCCAGCCGTTCAGGATCGTCAGCGCCTCATGTCTTCCCTTCAGGAATTTCCAATAATGACCTGGCTTAAAGTGTTTGCCGGCGAACGCGATGGAACCCTTTTTCAGAGCCTCACATGTTTTCGCCACCGTCTCGTAGGACCTCAGCGCCGGATTAATCATTAAATCAGCATTAAACAGCGACAGGCACCTTCGAGGTGATCCAAAGCCATATCCTTGAATCTTTTTGCTCGTTTCGTGTGGACATCGGCCGGTTGTCGCACTGTCGCCATGTCCTATAAGAAAGCAGACGAAAACAACGAACACTGCCGTGTTGCTCATCGTCGTCGCTGTCACCTGAAACATCAGTGCTGCAGTAAAACAGTGGCACAGCGGATATTTAGGTACGACTTGAAAACTACGCTTTATCTTGTACGGTACTGGTTTTATGTTGTCTCTTTGTCAATTGATGGACAGAGAGCAGCAGTTAATATACGGGAATAGACTCCGGTGCACAAAGCTGTGGACTTTCTGTTATCCCAGAAAGGTCAGTGGCAGCCAAGGAATGATAGAGGACTTTAGCTTTTCCAGCTAAGCTCCTGAAATAAAGCATTGGCATCATAGACTTAGAAAAAGGATATTGAGCCACTGTCCATATTAATTTGCGGGGAAATGTTGGCAACATTATTTTAATTGCGCCGTCTATGCTTTTAATGGAGGAAAACGATCCTTAGTTCGCGACAGGATTATCAACGATATTCAAGAGAGATGGCATCACAAGATGGGTGGAAGGCAAACCCATCATGTAAACTTAACTCACTCTTGTATACCCCTTTTTGGTAGCGAATGCGCAAGTTTTTTTGCACCGTAGTGCTTGCTCCCATGTACACTGCCACAAAGCAACACGATCATGTTTAAAGCAACGGCTGTTGTACGAACAAATTGTACACGCCCCTCAGTGAAGCGGTCATTCGCTCACGCTTGCTTGAGTAATAACCGTTGTTAAGAGAGTCGTGACGAAAATCCTGAAATCAATCCCAATATCGTTGCTATCAATCACTCACACAGCCAAGGAGGTGAACAAACATTATATTATGTATTCAGAATAGTCAGTGCGAGTTTTGAGGAATTCATTAGATTTTTCATCCCGTTTGAAATGGCGCCATCCAGTGGAAGGGAGTGACGGCTGTGGACCATGGCTTCGGCGAACGGCAGAGACTACTCAGGAGAGCACGGCCGACAAACTCCTTGCCTTATGCCACATACAGATACCTCCGGGCATAGCATGGACTTGGCTTACGGCCAATGACTGATGCTTAATCAGATTGAGATTGGAATCGATGAAGAAGCCTAGTCTTCAGTGTGATTGCAGCCTAAATGACCATATCATAGAATGCTTCCTCAGAGAGTTCGAAAGTAACTGTTGTCCTGGATACCAGCCAAGAATCTTTCAGCTGATTTAACTGCATGGTTCCTTTTTCTCAAGTTGAGAATCACCTTCAGTAATACGAGACAGAGAAAAGATGAACGATAATGATCATTTGCACATCATTTTGCGGCTTTTTATTTAACTGTATTGCAGACGAGGACAAATGTCGTATAAGCACTCCACAAAAATTGAATCTGTGCGTGCTTACGTTTCGGTCTTTTTGTTGTTATTTCAGTTGTAATGACATCCCCTCGTATTATAGAAGAACTTCCTGGCGGCTACGAGCCATGAGACTTTACAATAAGAAATCGATTATCATCTATTCTTTGACAATGGCCCCATGGTATTAATTTCCTTATTTGTCAGTGGGTCGATCACTCTAGTTGGACGTTCTGATCTCCCTCTCACAACATTAGTTGACCCGTTCGTACCATTTACTCTGAATATTGATCCTATAATTTTCATTTTCATCGCTTCTTTGTTCATTGCTGCAGTCTTCAAGCCAGAGAGCAGGATATTCTGTATGCAAGCCCTGTATATCTGCAATGTTGTACCATTTCCAACCTATCGTTCTTTCAGGGCATGCATAACTTGTTTCTCGCTGTTAATTCCAACGCACAGTGCTTTATATCCTCGTCTGTCACTCGTCCAGAGATAGAGATATGACCCCTCTTAAGGGTCAGACACTCTTTAGTCTGGGTTATACCAATTTCTATCAAATTCGTCCTCTTTAAGTTAACCGAGACACTTAGATTAGATCAGTTCTACTTCATTGTTAGGAATAGTTATGACAGAACTCTAAAGTTGTCTCATAGCAATTTAAAATTATCCGCAGATTCAATAGAGTTTATTCGGACGTTGTCCACTCTTGTCACTCCTTTGTAAAGGAACAAAGCATTCAAGTCAAGAAACATCGAAAACAAACAAGTAGTGATTCCGTTCCTCTTTTGCTTTACTCCAACTTTGTAAGAAAGAATTTGCCGAACTTGTCATTAATTCGTACTTAATGAAGGGTCATACATCGTGTTAATTATGCGAATAATTTTTATTAATAATTACGGTTGCACAAAATTATTTGGAAGGCACAATTTTGCTTAGATATCTTAAGCCATTTAAGCCGATGATGGCACTGACGGAGGAAATAAAATTGAGATATATGGTTTTTCTCCAAAAAGCGGTGTATTTCATAAGTCATGCTTGAAGGCCGCTAGTTCTCATGGATCGCGCAGGCAACTGCTTAGACTCTTTCCAATATTTCTGATGTACTGCAAAGAGACAGTATGAACAATTTCGATTCGAAGGCCCGGTCATAGTAACATTCTATGTAACCGATCCGTCGTAGTTTACTCCTGGACCATTTTACCTGTAATTGTGACAAGAGAGTTTTCCCTATATTTCAGAGCTATCAAGCAAGTTTATTCCGATTATTATGTTTATGGTCGGTACGATCTAATGCTCATGCTAATGCCCTTTCGTGAATGAACTGTTAATCTCAGATGGCGACGACAAAACAGAAACATTGTGGACGACTTGAAGCAGTGAGGTTGTCTTATTCCATAACTGGCAGCACGATGAAGAGCGTTTGGCTGCAACCCAGGGAATGAGATGATCTATTAGGTCCATATTTAGAGTATATTAATTAGTTTCATCTGGAAGAAAGATCTGATGAGCAAACATGGAAAGTTCTCATGACGTAAGAATTGATGAAAACTTCTGTACTAAAATATGGTTATTTTGGTCATGCGATATTCGATAACAGCAAGTGAATATTTGACCCGATCGGTTTGGGTCAGTTTGATGTTGTTTTGGATAAAGAGCTCTGGAAAGACATTTTTTTATTAAAAAATTGAATTGCTCCTGAAGTAGGTCATCCTTGGTATCACCTATGCGAAAATCATCAGATCAGTTTCCGTCTCATAATCAATGAAGATTTTGTTAACTTTCGAACTGAGCAATGATTAAATGCCAAACAAGCGTACATTTTAAAGTTTAATGGTGATATATGCTGATCAGCAAAAACAGCAACGATATTACAATATATGTCATGTCCATTCAGAGAGGAGATAATAGGACGCATAATGATATATTAATTTGTTTGGCTTGCATAATCTGGATGATCTTATTAATGGTTATTTCTATATCATCCAAGATATCGCTTTCTCTAATATCGCCTAGATTTTGCTTTATGTTTTGCAAAATTGTTCCGTATCTTAATCTCAGATATGTACATCCGCAATTCAGAGAATAAACAGCGCGATTAAATTATTTCGCAATTTCCCCATGGAATTTTAGCGCATTACCCATGCACAATGACAGCGAGCAGGCACGTTGCAAAAAGAACCGACCATTGCTGAGTCAGAGAGACATTAGATTAAATGACAAGAGAGAAGAAAAACAGCCCTCATGAGGAATATCAGCAGAATGATGGCAGGATGAGTTGAAGAAGTGCGTTTGACAATAACTGCAGAAAATAGAAGTTAATGTCAAAGCCTTGGCGTGTCCTTCATTCAGAAGTGGAACCAAAAATTCCGATAATTAGTTCCCCTTATACAAACATTTTGCTCAGACGCATGTGGTTTTATCTCCGCCGTCGCTGGCCCCAAGCCCGGATGAGAAAAGACGAAGGTTGAGGAACGTGGCAACGCTTCCCGTAAGTTTAGCTACCTGCCCCTAATAGTATTGCCGTTATCGAATGCTGTAGTCCTATGATTACAAGGGTCTCACAGGCTGTTGAAGAACTGAGGCGACCTGCGACAAGTCGGCGATCAGAACCTGCCTCTCGTCTTCCGTCAGCTGCGGAGACACGGCGACGGCTTCAGAAGATCAAAAGAAGACGAAGATACCAGTCAGCAGCAGAGCCGCCACTCTTTCTGAACGAGGGGGCAGACAGCGGAATGTTATTATAGCATGTCATGTAAGATTCCGTTGGAACAATACCCACAGCTGGAGCTCAGAGTTGGAAATTGGAACATCTTCTCACTCAAAGGAAAAGTGCAGCAGCTAGTCAATGAGGCCGTAAGCCCGTAAACGACCGACTATATATAGTCAGACCCTCTTCAACGATTAGCCAAGGCTCTGGTTTTGAACCTCTGCTGGTGGAAGTTATTCTGTTCACGTATAGACTCTACGAAACGCGCTAAGACCGGTCCTGTTCTTCTGACAGCACAATCCCTGGCTTACGGAATTACTGAATGGACGCCTATCAACCAAAGAACGGAATTCCTACAACTGAAGTTACAATAAGCTCAAGCTTTGACCTTGTTACAGGTCTTTGCGGCCAATTTAGATGGAAAATATGAGTTCTTCCTGGAGGATATAGAAGGTGCTGTAAAGAAATGCCGTCTACGGAATCAGAGTCATTCTGGTGAGTGATTTCAATGCACATGCCTGGTCAGGCACTTAAAGTATGATGGAAAGAACGGCCTTAGCGCCCTTAACAATAGCGTCATGAGGTTGTTGCGGTTTGTGCAAGCAAAATGCTGTTTGTTGTGACCACGTTCTTCGAGAGTCGAAAGTATATTAGTATGCCGGGCACAAGCAAGCTTGTGCGCGGAAACCGAT